AAAAACATTTTCACTGCTTCAGATTTTAATTTGGAGCAGGACTGTTCTTGTGTCATACTGAGCATCCCAAGAAAAGATCTGAGGGATGGTCACTCCATGTTATGAACGAGCACAGAGAAAGCTGACTTACTTTTTAAGCCTGATAGAGCTTAACAATATTAGAACACATTTTATGCATTTTAAGCTTCCTGAATTTCTAAACACTGATTCAATCATGGACTTTGTTTGAACAACACAACTGTCCTAGTAGACATGTAGGAATCAAAAAGTTCTACTCAGAATACCAAAAAAAAGTCAAGAAAGCTCAGAGGGATGTCATACCACCAAGAAAGCAGTGCCAGGAGCAGAGTGCATCCTTTGGACCTGAGGTTACTGCGCAGATAAGCTCCTAGTCCAGGGGAAGATTGACAAGGACATTCCACCAGAGCCAACAGAGAGGAGAAAGCCTCCCCCTGGAGCTGACACCCTGAATTTGGACTTCCAGCCTACCAGACTGTGAGAGAATAAACCTTCTCTTTGTTAAAGCAAAAAATAAAAATAAAAAGTCAAGCTCAAATAATTATTTGAAACTGATCCTAATGATGAAAAATAATTAAAAACAATTTTATATTTATCTTGAATAAATTAATAGCAGAGTTAGGAAATGGTAGACATTTAAGAAATAACTATGAACAACCACTGTCACAAAAACGAAACTATTTAAATTGTTTTATTATTTTTTTAAAGTCTTAAATTGTCCTCCAATTTTAGGATAAATCCATGCTTTGCTGTTCTAGGATCACTCCCCTCCGTCTTTCTGCAGAAAGGAAGAAAATCTTTCAATCAAAAAGTGATTATTAATTTGTTCTAGGCCTTTTCTGAGTGTGTGTGAGCCCACACTATATGCATTCCTGGATTTTACCTCTAATAGGTAATTCATTATTAGTGTAACATCAACATTATTACCCTCTCTGAGTAATTCTAAGGCACTGACTGCAGCCACCTGCACAGCTATTCGTGGAGCGTTCAGTGTTTGCCCTGAGCGTCTAGGTGTTGGAGAAACCTAAGCAAAGAAGGGATGCGAGCTGGAGGCCCTGTTTGTATAGGGTAATGATTTCATAAATGAAATCGACCAAAAACGCCTGCCCAGAATGGTAGGAAACGTGAGGAACAAAATCCATCCAGATTCATGCAGTCTCTTGATGCGTTTACAATGTGAAGAGCGAGCAACTTGGTGGAGGTACTACATACCGTATGTAATGTTTCTCCCCCAAACACCCAAGTGGACCCTTTAGATTACCCTATCCGTTTAAGAGCACTTCTCTTTGGAATATTTACCAAAAACAAAACAAAACAAAAAAAAAACAAAAACCAAACCCGTTGCCATCGAGTGGGTTCCGACTCAAAGCAACGGAGTAGAACTGTCCCATAGGGTCTCCAAGGCTGTAATCTTTACGCATGCAGACTGCCACAGAGCCTGGTGGGTTTGAACCACCGACGTTTAGTCTTAACCACTGCGCCTCCAGGGCTCCTTCTTGGAATATTTAGCCGGGGGGAAAAAAAGCCTGGAACTAAAATTAAAGCTCCAGCACGCTACAACCGCAAGGTGGCACTGCTTTAGTGCACCTGAAAGATTCGCGGACCCCCGCGCTGGCTTCTCCCTAGCGGGTTGGGCTGAGGGCGGCAGCATGGACTCCCCCTCTGCACCTTGGCTGTCGGCAAGCAGGTCCCGCTGGACCCGGGACCCCGGGGAGGTCGGCTGGGTCGGGTCCCGAATTCCCCGAGGCGCCCGGGTTCAGACGAGCAAGCGTGTGCGACGGGTCCCAGGACACGCGGCGGTGGCGGAGCGCCCCGGGCGGGAACTCGAGTGGGCCTATTCGGCGTCCACAACCCCGCAGGCGCCCCCCCCCGCCTACACGGCGGCGGGAACCAGCCTGGGACGTTTAAATTCCTCTCCCGCCGCCCAGCCCCAGGGAGGCCCCCACCGCGACGGGGCGGAGGGCGGGGCCTTCCCGGCCGGGGCGGCAACCTTGGGAGCTCTCAGCGCCTTCCCTCGCGCCCCGGGGCCGCGCCCAGGCACCGGGAAGGGGCAGGGAGTTGGCAGAGGGCTCCTGGGTGGGGGGGGGCGAGAGGGAAAACTAAGGACCTGTGGGCCGGGGAGACGGATGGTGATGGGGGAGTGTGGGGACAGGGCTACTGCAGGCGCCGAGGCTCCGCCCCTCCCCCCACCTCCCCGCCCCCGGGCCCGGCTCGCCCCCGCGGGGCCGGGGCGGGGCCTGTGTGTGTGTGAGTGTGTGTGTGTGTGTGTGTGTGTGTGTGTGTGTGTGTGTGTGTGTGTCTTTTGGGGTAGAAAAGGGCGCGGGGCCGGGGCGGGGCCTGCGTGTCTTTTGGAGTAGAAAAAGGCCCGGGGCCTGCCTAGCTGAGTGAGGTGACAACCGCAGCCCCGACGGCAGAGCCTGGCCTGACGCCGCCATGAGCGCCGCGCTCTTCAGCCTGGACGGCCCAGCGCGGGGCGCGTCCTGGCCTGCAGAGCCCGCGGCTTTCTACGAGGCAGGCCGCTCGGGCAAGCCGGGCCGCGCCGCCGAGCCAGGGGGCCTGGCCGAGTTGGGCGCCGCCGCGCCGGCCATGTACGACGACGAGAGCGCCATCGATTTCAGCGCCTACATCGACTCCATGGCTGCCGTGCCCACGCTGGAGCTGTGCCACGATGAGCTCTTCGCCGACCTCTTCAACAGCAACCACAAGGCAGGCGGCGCGGCGGGTGCAGGCGGCCTTGAGCTGCTGCCCGGAGGCCCCGCGCGACCCCTGGGCCCGGCCCCGCGCCCGCTCAAGCGCGAGCCAGACTGGGGCGAC